GCAGGGCTGGCACATTGCCTTTTTTGGCGAAGAAATGCCGGCTTGGCACTCTCCACCGCGGCGCGGCACAAGCCATCATTTCTCGGAAAGGTGCTGAGTCCACCACTTGGAAAGGGAGGGACTGCAGCACCAGCAACTTGGACAGGAGGACGTTCAGCTTCTGCACCGTCGGGTGCGTGCTCGCAAACTGTTTGTCTCTTGGAAACGGATTCCAAGAAAGACTGCTGACGGAATCCGTGAAGAGGAGTAGCAGGAGAAGGAGCATCTGAACGAGCGGAAGATGCCAACGAGCGACAACTCCCCTCAGCAGAGGTGTTGGAGCCTTGACTGGCTGATAGAGGGCGATTGACTCGGGTGACGGAGCAAGTAACGGACGGGTGATGGAGCGGGGGCTGGGGCAGGCAGAACCGCCGTATCTTTATCACGGTTTTCCCAGGCCACCGAATGGCGACGCTGCATATGCTGACGCAACGCTGTAGTCCCAACATGGGCCCCCTGGCCACGCTTGACTTTCTGGCCACATAGTCGACATACGGCTACGTTTACTTCCTCGGGCGGCGGCTTGACGAAAAATTGCCACACCGCCGAGTAGGAAACTTTGCCCCCGCTACTCCTCACTGGCTGACTGCTACTTCCTCCGTGCACACCGGCACCACTACTGGCCGTGGTGGTAGGCTGCAGTGGAGCTGGTGCTCTACTACTCCGTGGCCGTTTGCCTCCACTGACACTGCTGCGACCCTGCTGCCTCCTGGGCAACCCACCGACTGTTTTGCTCGCTGCCAAGCTGGCACCCTCTTCTCCTGATGATGCGGAAGCAATAGCCTGATGACGACGAGGCTGCCAAGTGCGATCAGCCTCATCATCATCAATTAGGGTCTCCGCGTCACTACTAGCCCCCTCGGCTGCGTGTGGGTCAGGAGACAGACCTGTCTCTAGACCGGCTACCGAGCCACTCTCCTCGCCAGTACTTCTTCTTCGCCTGGCTGCTGAAGAGGCGGATGTCTCCCCCCGTTCCTGACCGCCTCTGTTAGCTCTTCCTCACTGTACAGTGGGGCTGAGCCCACAGCATGCGATACTTCGCTTGGTGAGGGAACACCAAAGGACAGGGGCAGGTAGAGGACACGTGATTTCAGTGGGCTTGCTCCCGGGCCATGCCAACTAACGGTTGTGTCTGACGTACCCACCGACCGTTGGCTGTAGGTGTCAGAGGTGACCTGGGAAGAGGAAGACGACCGAGCCAAACCAATCGATGACGGCAGGGTTGTCGGTGGAGACACGACCGCTGGATGACACCGGGAGCACTGGCCTCTGGCTGCGACTAGTGCTGCCTCGACCCCTTCCTCTGCTGCCACGTCTGCTCGCCTCCTGAAACATTGCCTCCTCTGCCACTCCTCTGCGTGTTGTCTGACATACTCTTTTTAATTCAACGATTCTGTGTCCCTGAGTAACGATTCTGTGTCCCTGAGTAACGATTCTGTGTCCCTGAGTAACAATTCTGTGTCCCTGAGTAACAATTCTGTGTCCCTCAGTAACGATTCTGTGTCCCTCAGTAACAATTCTGTGTCCCTGAGTAACAATTCTGTGTCCCTGAGTAATGATTCTGTGTCCCTGAGTAACGATTCTGTGTCCCTGAGTAACAATTCTGTGTCCCTGAGTAACGATTCTGTGTCCCTGAGTAACGATTCTGTGTCCCTGAGTAACAATTCTGTGTCCCTGAGTAACGATTCTGTGTCCCTGAATAACGATTCTGTGTCCCTGAGTAACGATTCTGTGTCCCTCAGTAACAATTCTGTGTCCCTGAGTAACAATTCTGTGTCCCTGAGTAACGATTCTGTGTCTCTGAGTAACGATTCTGTGTCCCTGAGTAACGATTCTGTGTCCCTGAGTAACAATTCTGTGTCCCTGAGTAACAATTCTGTGTCCCTGAGTAACAATTCTGTGTCCCCTGAGTAACCTGTGAGAGTAACAATTCTGTGTCCCTGAGTAACAATTCTGTGTCCCTGAGTAACAATTCTGTGTCCCTGAGTAACAATTCTGTGTCCCTGAGTAACAATTCTGTGTCCCTGAGTAACAATTCTGAGTGTCTGTCCCTGAGTAACAATTCTGTGTCCCCCTGTGTCCCTGAGTAACATTCTGTGTCCCTGAGTAACGATTCTGTGTCCCTGAGTAACGATTCTGTGTCCCTGAGTAACGATTCTGTGTCCCTGAGTAACAATTCTGTGTCCCTGAGTAACAATTCTGTGTCCCTGAGTAACGATTCTGTGTCCCTCAGTAACAATTCTGTGTCCCTGAGT